AAGGGCATGTGCCACTGCCACTGGCATAACCTTAAATTTTTATCTCCATATAGAGTATATTCTAAACCAGAGTTGAATTATGTACATAATATTTTGTAACTAATCTAATCTTATATTTCTATCATACAAAAGTCTATACCAATCCAAAATATTTGAGACTTGTTGCTTTCCAGTATAAAAGAACATACAATGAACAGAGAGCTCATTAGGACTAAGAAGTATCATATGAATGTACTCTTTTTTGTTTTGTTTTGTTTTGTTTGACAGGGTTTCTATGTGTGGCTTTGGAGCCTGTCCTGGAACTAGCTGGTCTCCAACTCACAGAGATCCACCTGCCTCTGCCTCCGAATGCTGGAATCAAAGGTGTGTGCCACTACCACTTAGCATGGATATACTCTTTAAGCTTGTAAAAGATGCCAGGCATGTGGTGAAAGACCCCCAGAGTAGGAAGACCCTCACTCAAGTCTCGGGATAAGCTGATGCCCCAATAATTCAAGACTGTTCTTGATGCAAGCACACAAGGTTTATTCGGGGAACCAGTGCACTGGGGCCGAGCTCATAACCCTCGCAGGGGCAGAGGAATTCGAACCCTGGTAGCTGCAGTCTTCTCTGCATAGATCTATCTTTACATCCCAGGGAATCAGCAAGGTGTTGGCCCTGTGAAACTGTTCCTTGATGAAGGGACCATTTTTGTAAATGCACCTCTTCTAAGGGTATTTCTTCATGAGTTAACCCAGGAATGTCCCATAAGTCTAACCCTGCCATCAGGGCACAGATTTCAGGAAACAAAGAGGACCACCAAGTACCAGGGGGAGCGACTTTAGAGGTGGACCAGACTACACCCCCAGTTTGTGATAGTACCTGTCAGGTTAATGCTTGAGGAACATGGGGATTTCTATTATTCTGTGGTGAGCAGGTGACATAAACGCAGCTTAAGAGGATCACCAGTCCGTTCCAGCTTCCAGGAGTCATCTTGGGTTGCAGGAGGGGCCGCTTTGACGTGGGATGCGTGGATCCAAGCTGGGATGCCGTCAACCTTGATGGCGGTCGGACTTGTCAGGAGCACAAGGTAGGGTCCCTTCCACCTGGGTTCGAGGTTGCTGGATTGATGACGCTGGACCAGGACGGAGTCTCCTACTTGGAACTTATGTGGTACAGTTGTGGATCCAGGTTCGTATGCTCCTTTTAGGTTCCTAGGCGTCCTTTCTGACCAGTTCAAGAGCCTTTAAACGAGTTAACAGGAATTGGGGGAAAGAGGCATCTGGATCAAGTACCGCTCCTGCTTGGCAAGGGGGGCAGTCCCCCATGGAGTAGCTCGAATGGTGTGAGTTTAAATTTCCCTGGGAACAAGGCGTGAAAAAAACCCCTTTTTGAGACTCAGAAGGTTGCCTCAGTGGAAAATTCCCCAAGGTCTCTTCCCCTAGATAGGGAACAATGTCTAATTAAAAAGGTCTAATTGGAAAGAACATGTGGTCCAGAGTGCTGATACAGGACACCAGCAGGCTATAGAGATAAGTTCGATTTTGACCTTGTGGTTTCTCCAGGAAAGATGAGTTATGACCACGCTTCATACAATACCCCTATTGCTTGCCCAGATCTGCACCTGCAGTGGCTCCGCTTTTTGCAATACCCCTATTGCTTTGCTTGCCAAAATGATGTACATAAAAAGAAAACTGTCCTAAATCCCGGGGCTCTCAGCTTGCTAAAGCAGCTGGAGTGCCCACAGACGTCTGTGTGAACAATAAACCTCTTGCAGTTTGCATCCTACTGTCTGGTTATTGTGCTCAGGCATCGCTAGGCATTCAGCCTGACCACTTCAGGTTTTTTATTTGGAGGTCCCACCGAGATTTGGCGACCCCACTCAATAACCTAGATGTTGGGAGGTGAGACGATTGGGTACCCTTTGTCTGTCTGTCTGTTCTTCTGTCTCACTGTTCTGGTCTGGTGTGCACACTTTTGGATTTGGGGCATCCAGTGAGGGAATTGACAAATTCTGTACTCACTTGGAGCCACCGCCCTGGGAGACATCCCAGGGTGCAGGTGTTTGGGGTCCCGGTTTTTCAGGGCCCGCTTTGTATTTGGGGGTAAACAGGCTACCCTAGTGGAGAACTTGTACTTGTGCCACACGGCATTGGGCCTGCTTTTTGTTTGTTGTCTCTATTGTTTGTCCTTAGTTGTTATTGAAAATTCTTTTTCTAGGATGGGACAGTCTCTAACTACCCCCTAAAGTTTGACTCTAGACCATTGGAATGACGTCTTAGCTTGAGCATACAACCAATCCACGGATGTTAAAAAGAAGAAATGGCAAGCTCTCTGCAGTTCCGAGTGGCCAACTCTTAATGTTAATTGGCCCTGGGATGGCACATTTAACCTGAATGTTATCTTGCAGGTGAAAGACAAAGTTTTTGATGCAGGACACCACAGACGCCCCAACCAGGTCGCCTACATCATCACCTGGGAAGACCTGGCCCATAATCCACCTCTGTGGGTCCGCACATTTGTTCACCCCCAAACACCCAACCCCCCTACCCAGCACTCCTAGCGCTTCCAGTTCCCCTTTACCTCCATCTACCCCTCCTGTCCCTCTCCCCTCCACGATCCCTCTCCTCTCCATGCCAACTGCCCCCCCCTCCATCCTCCTCACTCTACCCTCTAGCCAATTCTAACTCCAATGGGGAGAAGGCTAAATCCCCTATCCTTCCCCCTGACCCCAATCTTGACCTACTTTCCTTTGAACCTCCCCCTCCATATCCCTCTCTCTTGCATCCAGTCAGGGCAGGAGGACCCAGTCCTCCCTCTTTGCCCTCTCCTGATTCCTCGACCCAGGAACCCACGGTCTACTCCTATTCAGGCTCACTTATGTCTCCACAGAGAGCGACCATGTCAGGAGGGAGAAGATGGACCATGGTCAGCTCAGCTTTTTCCCTTAAGATCAGTAGGGGGCCAACATAAATACTGGCCATTCTCTGCATCTGACCTCTACAATTGGAAGATGCACAACCCCTCCTTTTCCCAAGATCCCCAGGCACTAACTGGGCTCATTGAGTCCATTCTAATGACTCATCAGCCCACTTGGGATGATTGTCAACAGCTTCTCCAGGCACTCTTAACTACGGAGGAACAACAAAAGGTCTTTCTGGAGGCACGGAAGAATGTACCAGGCTCCAGTGGGGCCCCCACCCAACTCCCCAATGAGATCGACGCAGCCTTCCCATTGGAGCACCCAAACTGGGACCACACCACCCCGGCTGGTAGGGAACAACTCTGTCTCTCTCGCCAGATTCTCCTTGCGGGTCTCCGGGGCACTGGGAGGCGCCCCACTAATTTGGCTAAGGTAAGAGCAGTCACTCAGGGGGTAGAAGAAACCCCGGCAGCATTTTTAGAAAGGTTAATGTAGGCATATCGTAGATATACGCCCTTCGACCCGACCAGTCCAGAATGCCAGGGAGAAATTATCATGGCCTTTATAGGGCAGTCAGCCTCAGATATCCGGACTACATTGCAGCGGTTAGATGGGTTACAGGACTATACTCTTCAGGATTTCATGAAGGAGGCAGAAAGGATTTATAATAAGAGAGAAACCCCAGAAGAGAAGGAAGAGAGACTAAGCAAGTTGCAGGAAGATAAAGAGGAAAGGTTGAGAAAGGAACAAGAGTAGAGGGAAGACAAGCATGATAAGAAACATACTAGGGAGTTAAGCAAAATCTTGGCCACCGTAGTTCAGCCCAGATCAGAGCCAGGGAGGCAGTTGAGGAACCAGGGAGACTTCTGGTACCCACGGCTTGACCGCAACCAATGTGCCTACTGCAAAGAGAAGGGGAACTGGGCCAAGGATTGCTCAAGGAATCCAAGAGTACAAAAGAAGTGCCCTCCCCAGGCCCTCTTCCTTGAGGATTAGGGGAGTCAGGGCCAGGAGCCCCCCCTGAGCCCAGGCTAATTCTCAAGATCGGGGTCAGCCTATAACCTTCCTAGTCGAAACTGGGGCTCAACATTCAGTGTTAACCAAAGTGCTTGGTCCACTGAGCAGCAAAACTTCGTGGGTGCAGGGCGCTACTGGAGGGAGAAGCTACCCATGGACTACCAAGCAAGAGGTACATGTGGCCTCAGGTAACATGACTCATTCCTTCTTACATGTCCCAAATTGCCCTTACCCTCTTCTGGGGAGAGACCTGCTGTCTAAAGTGGGGGCCCAAATTCAATTCAGTAAACAGGGGGCCACAGTCACCGGTCCAAGTGGGAGCCCCCTCCATGTCCTCAACCTAAAGTTGGAGGATGAATACAAGTTGCTGGAACAGCCTCACAAAACCCCCTGGAAAGCATCCAAGCCTGGCTCAAAGAATACCCCAAGGCCTGGGTAGAGACTGGGGGAATGGGGCTAGCCGTGAACCAGCCACCCATGATAATTGACTTAAAGACATCTGCTACCCTCATATCTGTTAAGCAGTATCCACTATCCAGGGAGGCCTACAGGGGCATCCAAACCCACATACAGTGACTGCTAGATTTGGGCATATTAAAACCTTGCCATTCCCCTTGGAATACACCCCTCCTCCCCATCCAGAGGCCGGGGACTGGGGACTATCGCCCTGTACAAGATTTAAGGGAGGTTAACTAAAGGACTGAGGACATTCTTCCTAGGGTGCCTAACCCATACAACCTTCTGAGCACCCTGCCTCCCTCCCATTCCTGGTATACTGTGCTAGATTTAAAGGATGCTTTTTCTGCTTGAGGCTCAGCCCCCAGAGTCAGCCCCTTTTCCCCTTCGAATGGAAAGACCTGGACTCCGGACTATCCAGACAACTAACTTGGACCAGGCTGCCACAGGGTTTCAAGAATTCTCCAACCCTCTTTGACGAGGCTCTACACCAGGACCTGGCTGACTTTCGGAGGCAACACCCCGACCTCGTCCTCCTGCAGTACGTGGATGATTTACTTTTGGCAGCCTGAACCAAGGAAAGCTGCAAACGAGGTACTGGGGCCCTACTAGAGCAGCTGGGAGCTTTGGGATACTGCGCCTCTGCCAAGAAGGTGCAGATCTGCAAACAGAAAGTAACTTATCTAGGCTATACCCTAGAAGGGGGCCAGCGATGGCTGACAGAGGCCAGAAAACAAGCGGTGGCCCTCACCCCCCCGCCACCGCAAACCCCATGGCACATGTGGGAATTTTTAGGAACCGCAGGCTTCTGCAGACTCTGCATCCCTGGGTTTGCGGAAATGGCTGCCCCACTGTATAACCTGACCAAACAGGATGCTAAATTTAAATGGGGAGAAGAACAACAGGTAGCAATTGACAAAATCAAGCAGGCCCTCTTGTCCGCACCTGCCTTGGGACTCCCAGATGTCACAAAATCATTTGACTTGGTTGTTGATGAGCGAAAAGGCATTGCCAAAGGAGTCCTAACCCAAAAGTTGGGCACATGGAGGAGGCCCATAGTTTATTTATCCAAGAAACTGGACTATGTGGCATCAGGATGACCCCCTTGCCTTCGCATGGTAGCATCTATAGTGTTCCTAGTCAAGGATGCAAACAGGCTAACTCTGGGGAGCCCCTCACTGTCATTACGCCCCATTCTGTGGAAAACATCGCTGTCAGCCACCCGAGAGCTGGCTGTCAAACACGTGGATGGCTCACTACCAGACGCTGCTCCTGGCGCCCGACAAGATAAGATTCGGGCCAGCCACCACCTTGAACCCAGCTACACTCTTGCAGGACTCAGAGGACAGTAAGGAGGTGCCCCATGATTGTCAATAAATACTAGCCGAGGCTCATGGGACTCGCCCAGACCTGACCGACCAACCTCTCCTGGATGCGGATGTTACATGGTTCACGGATGGGAGCAGTTTTCTCCATAAAGGTGAGCGAAGGGCGGGGGCGGCGCTGGTGGATAAGCACCAGACTATCTGGGCAAGCACTTTGCCCCCAGGAACATCAGCAAAGCAGGCTGAGCTCATTGCGCTCACCCAGGCACTAAGAAAGGCAGAAAGAAAGAGGGCTAACAGTTATACTGACAGCCGGTATGCATTTGCAACGGCACATGTGCACGGAGAAATCTACCGAAGGAGGGGGCTGCTGACCACAGGAGGTAAAGAAATTAAAAATAAGACTGAGATACTGGACCTGTTACAAGCCCTGTTCTTACCTAAAGAGTTGAGCATCATCCACTGCCCAGGACACCAGAAGGGGAATAGCCCCATTGCTTTAGGCAACCGCCTGGCGGATGAAACTGCCAGGAGTTTGGGTCACAGATTCTATCCCTGCACACTAACAAGACTCAAGCAGCCCCTTCCCAACTGAAATACGCCTATACAACAGAAGACCTGGCAGAAATACACAGAATAGGAGCCAGATATGACCCAGAGGCCCAAGGATGGAGGTTTCAAGGGAAATTTGTCCTGCCCCGGAAGGATGCCGGAACTTTAATAGCGGACCTCCACAAATTAACCCACCTTAGTAGGAAAAAGCTATCCACTCTACTAGAAAGGGAAGAGTTCTTCTTTTACATACCACATGTGCAGAATCTCATTCACCAGGTTTTTGATCAGTGTATTCCCTGGGCAAAAGTCAATGCAGGAAGACTAAAACTTCCAGAAGGGACCAGGACCAGAGGACACCGCCCCGGTATCTATTGGGAAGTGGACTTTACAGAAGTTAAACCTAGCCTGTACGGTAAGAAATACTTGCTAGTTTTCATAGATACCTTCTCAGGATGGGTTGAGGCCTTCCCTACCAAGAGAGACACTGCCCAGATGGTAGTTAAGAAGATTCTGGAAGAAATCTTCCCTTAAGTTGGCCTACCCAAGGTAATCGGGTCTGATAATGGGCCGGCTTTTGTCTCCCAGGTAAGTCAGTTGGTGGCCAAGCTACTGGGGTTTGATTGGAAATTACATTGTGCTTATAGACCCCAAAGCTCAGGTCATGTAGAAAGAATGAAGAGAACAATCAAGGAGACCTTGACTAAATTAGCATTGTAGACTGGCACTAGAGACTGGGTTCAACTCATGCCCCTGGCCCTCTACCAGGCCAGGAACACCCCTGGCCCCCATGGCCTCACCCCATATGAGATCCTCTATGGAGGACCTCCCCCTGCTATAACCTTCTTTGATTCTGATATTCCTGCCTATGCTACAACCCCAACCCTGCAGGCACACCTCCAAGCCTTACAGATAGTCCAGGAGCAGATTTGGAAGCCTTTGGCAGCAGCATACTGGGAGAAGGGACCACCTTCCAGGCCCCATACCCACCAGATTGGTGACCAGGTCTACGTGAGGAGGCACCAGGCCAAAACTTGGAACCACGCTGGCAAGGACCATACACTGTACTTCTGACCACCCTGACTGCTCTAAAAGTAGACGGCCTCACGGCCTGGGTACATGCATCACACATAAAGGCTGCTCCCCAAGAAGACCCAAAGGTCCTGCCCACCACCACGGCATAGAAACTCCAACGCACCCAAAATCCCCTCAAAAGAAGACTCTTAAAGAGCCCTAACCTTGCTTGTAGTCGCTTTAAGTGTGCTCCCTGTAAGCCTCTGGGGCCACCCTGATTCTAGCCCTCATGTTCCCCAAGTACTTACCTGGCAGGTGATGTCACAGACAGGGGATAAGGTTTGGTCGACATCTAAGGAGGCTCCCCCTGGCACATGGTGGCCCCCTCTATTTCCTAGGATTTGCCCCCATGTAGTGGAGTTAAGCGACTGGGACATCCCTGAACTGACATCTGAAAGGGTCCCGAAGGAACCATTAGCTAAGTATGGTATCGGATCCAACCTTGGCTACAAGTACCCAGGTACCCAAAAAGCCCTACAAATAATTCAATTCTATGTCTGCCCTAGGGACGGTAAAACAAGGTCAGAGGTGCATAGATGTGGGGGGCTTGGGGACTTCTTTTGCAAACAGTGGGGTTGTGAGACCACAGGAAAGGCTCCATGGGACCCCTCGTCAAGCTGGGAGTTAATTACTGTTGGCAGGAAAAACCAAACTTCAAACACCCTTAACATAACTTTCACAAATCGGGAAAACAATTCAACGGATGGGTCAGGGGACGAACCTGAGGACTAAGATTCTGTATGCCAGGGCAAGATAAGGGACTTTCATTCCAAATTAGACTTAAGATAACTAGTCCCCTGACAGCTCCCGTAGGACCTAACGATGTGTTGTCAGAACAAGGGCCGCCTAAAGCCCCAAAACCCCAACTTCCCCCAGTCTCACCCGTCTCTACCCCCCTGCCTCCCTCAACGGGACAGAGACTCTTCAGCTTGGTACAAGGGGCTTTTTCTGCCCTCAACAACACCCAGCCAAAGCTTACTACCTCTTGTTGGCTATGTCTAGCATCTACGCCATGCTATTATGAAGGGATTGCCACGATGGGAAACTCTACTAACATCAGCACCAGCCCTGACTGCGACTGGGAGGCGGACCATAGGCTAACACTCATTCAAGTTTCTGGCCAGGGTCTATGCCTAGGAACACCTCTACCCTCCAAGTCGGGCCTCTGTAACCGAATAGTCCAGCAGCCAAAAGTCGAAATTACCTGGTCCTAGAATCGGGGCTCTCGAAAGATTTCTGTGTCGCAGTCTGCTTGCTTCCCCGTGTATATTATCAACCTCCTGAAGTTCTGGAGCAAGTTTATTAGGGGATCCCTTCAAGGTACAAGAGGGAGCCTATATCACTTACTATAGCCCTCCTATTGGGGGCAGCAATGGCAGCCGGAACAGGCACAGGAGCTGCTGCACTGGTTCAAGGGTCCCAAGGATACTCAGAATTAAAACTAGCCATTGAGGAAGACATCAAAGCGGTTGAGGGATCTATTACTAAATAAGAATTGTCTGTTGCTTCCCTGGCTGAGGTTGCCTTACAAAACCAAAGAGGCCTCGACCTCCTTTTTCTTAAGGAAGGTGGACTCTATGCTGCCCTAAGAGAAGAATGCTGTTTCTATGTTAATCATTCTGTGGCAAAACTTAGGGAAAGACTCAACCAACGTCGGAGAGAATGGGAATCTCAACAGGGATGGTTTGAGAGCTGGTTCAATGGGTCCCCCCCGGCTGACCACCCTGATTTCTACCATACTAGGCCCTCTGGTTATTTTGTTACTAATACTTACTTTTGGTCCCTGTATTCTAAATTGCCTTATGATGTTCATTAAGGAATGCCTATCTATCACCCAGGCCCTGCTTCTCACCCAACAGTACCAAGCTCTTAAACAACAAGAGGGACCATACGTTTTAAGATTAAAACTTCACAAAAAGAAATAGGGGAATGAAAAACCTCAATACACCCCCCCCCCCCCCTTTTTGAGACTCAGAAGGTTGCCTCAGTGGAAAATTCCCCAAGGTCCCTTTCCCTAGACAGGGAACAAGGTCTAATTAAAAATGTCTGATTGGAAAGAACATCTGGTCCAGAATGCTGATGCAGGACCCTGGCAGGCTATAGAGATAAGTTCGATTTTGACCTTGTGGTTTCTCCAGGAAAGATGAGTTATGACCACGCTTCTTACAATACCCCTATTGCTTGCCCAGATCTGCACCTGCAGTGGCTCCGCTTTTTGCAATACCCCTATTGCTTTGTTTGCCAAAATGATGTACATAAAAAGAAAACTGTCCTAAATCCCGGGGCTCTCAGCTTGCTAAAGCAGCTGGAGTGCCCACAGACGTCTGTGTGAACAATAAACCTCTTGCAGTTTGCATCCTACTGTCTGGTTATTGTGCTCGGGACATCGTGAGGCATTCAGCCTGACAACATCAGGTCTTTCAGGCGAAGGGCAGGAGGGCTGTCCTGTCCTTTCCACCGGTCTCTAAGGTTAATTTAGTCAAGGTCTCTTTTAATGTTCTATTTATTCTTTCTACCTGTCCTGAGCTCTGGGGTCTATAAACACAATGTAATTTCCAATTAATCCCCAGTTGGGTGGCCAGTCCCTGACTTACCTGGGCAATGAAGGCAGGGCCATTGTCTGATCCAATTACCTTAGGGATGCTGAATCGTGGGAAAATCTCCTCCAGTATCTTCTTTGCTACCACATTGGCTGTTTCCCTCTTTGTAGGGAAAGCCTCTACCCATCCTGAGAAGCTATCTATTAAAACTAATAAATATTTGTTACCATATTTTGCTGGTTTAACTTCTGTGAAATCGACCTCCCAGTATGCTCCTGGCCTGTCTTCCCGGAGGCGTTTGCCAAGGGCACCTAGGTGATGTCCAGCATTGGTTAAGGCACAGGCCTTGCAATTCTGAACTACTTTTTGAGCAATGTCCGAGAGGCCAATGACATGATAATCAGAGTGACGTATGATGTCCTTTAGCTTCTTTGTCCCTAGATGAGTTAGTTGATGTAAATTGGTGACATGATGTCGTCCCTCCTCTTGGGGTAGTATGGATTTGCCATTTCTGTCTCAGCTACTCCATGGGGGCGGGGTGGCCATGCACAATTTTTAGTTTCTCCATCTGCTAATGATCTTCAGGGGTATACCTGAAGCTAGTTTCTCTAATGTCATAATAGTCTTTAGGGTGGCTGCCTACATCATGATGAGGACACCAATCAAAATGGAGGAGAGCCACATGGCTGCTATTTAAAACAAACATGTTTTCCTAAACAGTAGTTACATGCTTGTATATGTAGAGTTGAATCCAAGTTACATATGCATACACGCAGAGTTAAATCCGGTTTAAATTCACATATACACAGTTAAATGCAAGTCACATACTTGTATACACACACACACACACACTCACACACACACATGCATGCATGCATGCATATATTAAACAGGAGCTAATAAATAAGAAGTAAGGGAGAGTCGGCGTGTACTGAACAAGATGAAGCTGGCCTCTCCATCTCTGACTCCCATGTTGCAGCAAACAGGACATTGAGAGAGAGAGAGAGAGAGAGAGAGAGAGAGAGAGAGAGAGAGAGAGCAGACAGACACAAGCATTGTTGATTCAGATTTTCTGGATTACTCTAAGGAAACCTATCTCTACTTGTGATGCTTTATAACAATCTGGAAGATTCCTCCCCAAATCCCAAGTCTAGTGAGCAGTCTGGTATTGCTTTGGGCTTCCATAGGAAGATAGACTATCAGTTGTGTCCTTAGATCAAAATAATTTTTGACCACAGCTTACTATCTGCATGATATTAACACAGGGTACTATTTCTCCAAGTCTCACTTTCTCTAGAGGGAAACTATAGTGATGAAATCCTCAAAATATTCTGGGGTTTTTTGGATGGATGGTAAAGTGTACATGTTGATCACTCTGCTGACACAGTTAGTGGTTAAACTACCAGTTACTAAAGTCAGGGTTGGCAGTCTGCTTTTCCTCTCGAAGAGAGGAGTTAATTATGAACTTGAAGAAACCCATTTGTGGTGAGGCTTGGAAGTCATTGTATCTACAGCACTCAAATTAGCTTTTCTGGTGATCAGGAATAGGCTTGATTCTATTGGAGGAAGGCAGAACAAGGGGGAAAGATAAATGCTGACAGTGGCCTTCTCCCCAAACCCTCTACAGGAGCCACCCCTTTCTTTTGTTGGGGTCAGAGAGTCAGAGTAATTCTGTTGAGACTTTATTGTCAGTTTCCTGTAAACAGGTCCCTTTTATGTTGGACCCCCATGGTGATGATGAGTGAGTTTATGTTGCTACTGAAAAACAACTAGCTGTGGGCTAGGAACAGAAAAGCTTTTGGAATCGCTTTTACCTCAGGCTGCAGAATGACAGTCATTGTGTTTTCAAATGGAATTGACTGATGTTGAGAAAAGTCCCGCGATATAGAGCAGTTGCTACTTTTTATTCATTTGGCCCAGTCAGCATGCCATAAGTCTAAAAGGCTAAAATATAACCTAGTGGAAGGGAGATGTGATGAAGAATTTTGTGATGCGCTAAGGCTCCGGAACCATTGCAGAAGAAGAGATGGACATATTGTAATAGATGGAGGTTGAGAAGTACAGGGGCAAAACCCTGTCTCCTGGACTTGGCAGGCCTGCTGCACACATGAACTCCCTGCAGCCGGGCTTGCCTAAGATTAAGCATGAGATTAAGTCAGTGAACGTTACAGCATGGAGGGGGGAGCCCACCCCCAACTGAGGAGCTATGAGTAGTTGATGGCTCCTGGGGGAGGAAGTCAGGTTTTTACGGGTGTGGCCTCTAATGGGTCAACCATGCTCCAGTGGATGTCCCCACACCCCTGAATATATGGGCAGGATTCGGCGGGTTATTAAATAAAAAGAGGACAGTTTTATGTTCACTAAAGTTGTGTGGGTAGGAGTGACTCTTAGAGGAGTTAGGGAGAGGAATTGGGGGTAGATATTATCAAAATATATTGGATGATTATATGAAAATTTCAAAGAATTAAAATATGTTATTAAAATGAATTTTGTGAAATAATTATGACAAGACCAGAAAGCTGAAAAACCTCTGTGGTTGACAGTGACCATGAATTGCTAGTCTCGCCATCCTAAAGCAAACTGCTGCTTGTAGTCTTTACTAACAATTACTGAGAGGGTATGTAATAGATCAATAACTTCACAACAAGTTCTAGGGGGTATCTTAACTTGTTAAAATCAATGAAACCACTTCTGAAGCAACATCTACTGTTGGAATTGCCACCTAATTAAATTTATAATAATCCACTACTGTCTTCCAAAATCTACCTGTCTTCTTTCCACATAGGCCACATAGGCAAGTTGAAAGGGAAGGTGGTGAGCGTCACTGCCTCTGCATGGTTAAAATCCTTAATGTGGGGCCAGTTGCCATAATTCTTTCAGGAATGGAGCACTGCTGTTGATTTACTACTTTACCACGTAAAGGCAGTACTAAAGGTTTCCACACTGCAAAGTGCTCATTCTATAGGTGAAGGTAAGGCTGTGGGAATTCTGACAAGTGCTGAGTGTGTCTATTTCGATTATCCATTTGCGAAGCTGGGAAGTAGCTGTAGGGTGGATTCAGAGACCCATATAACCCACTGGAAGAATGGAGCTGAGCTAAAACTCCATTAATCACCTCACCTCGCTAATCCTCCACTCTAACTTGGTGGATCATAATGACACTTTAGGTTTCCTGGAATCAATGTCCCTGAAATGCCTGATGGTTTCATTTTCCTTGTCATCCAGTAAAAGGCCTTAATTCCCAATGGCAGAATGTGTTTTTGGGACTGCAGTAGGAAGGCAGCCTGTCCTTTCTCAAGAGGTTGTAGGTATGTAACTGCCTTACATACGAAAAGTGGTTGAGACTTGGATGAGTGCAGTTAGTCGCCCGGGAATCTGTCTAGACCTTGTTTGCTCATATACATTCAGTAATTAGACTGCTCACCTTTTTCAATGCTGGAAGTCTCTAAATGTCCTGATTTCATTCATGCCACCTTAGTATTCACTCGCCTCCCCCACTCTATGTAAACAGGTTCGTGGGGAGCGATTGCCACTGATATTTTTGATCTACAGAGAAGAACAATCGGAGAGTTCCTAAAGGTCTTGGGGAGAGGGCTTCTCTCACCTACTTATGTTTCATAGTCACTAATGTGTATTTTTAAAATCTGTATGGCAAGTAGGTAGCATTCTGATCTCCCAAACACTCTGTCTACAGTGTACCAAGGCAGTTCAGTTCTTTCAATTCTATTGAACATAAACCACCCTTTGGCTCATAGACCTCTCTCTACACCCCTTGTACCTTTTATAATATTTTTATGATAATCCTTACTCCACAGATGAGTGAAATGATGTCCTGGCTGTTGAATGCAGCCTTGCACATGACAGTGAGTGGCTCTACTGACCTAATGTCTCCAGCTCAGGGTGACTTTCAGCATCAAAGTCAATCACTGCATACTGACCCAGTATCAGTATATTCAACTTGTCCCAACTTTAGGTTCCTCCCACATTGTCTCAAATTTATTTTGAACTGTAAAGTTTTGGGTTTGTAAAAATAGTTTTCGTAACAAAAATTAGAGAAAAAAGAGGCTATAAAATTGAATGGAGCAGAGAAAGAAGGAGTACATGGGATGATTTGGAGAGGGGAAAGGGTAAAGGAGAAATGATGTAATTATAATCACACTTTTTAAAAATTTCCCCCCTATTTTTATGTGTTTAAGTGTTTTGCCTGCATGTATCTGTCAACCATATGCACGCCTATTGCCAAAGGAGGCCAGAAGAGGGTAGCAAATCCCATGGAACTGGAGTTATGGATGCTCATGAACCACCGTGTGAGTTGAGAGAGTCAGTTTCTGGAAGAGCAGCACATGCTGCTCTCCGGGTCCTATCCCACACTTTCAACGTCCATTCACACAGTGTCTAAATTTGTGTTTTTATGAATTGAAGAAAAAACTGGTCTTTCACTGTAGCACATTTCTTACTTATGCCTCACCTTTTGAGGCCTGTTAGAATTTAAGACTAGTTTTCTGTCTAGGATAAAAAGTATGTTTATGAAGGAAATCCTGAGGCAAATCATCGTTGTCTTGCAAAGCAAATAACTAATAGAAGTCATTAAATTTTCTTCAGGGTTTATCTCAAATGGACAGAAAGATACTTTTTTGGTTTGGTTTGGTTTTTGGAGACACTGTCTCTTCATATCCCTGCCTGTCCTAGAACTCACTGTGTAGACTAGGCTGGCCTCAAACTCACAGAGATCTCCCTACCTCTGTCTCCCGAGTGCTGGAATTAAAGGCATGGGCCACCATGGCCTGGCTTGAAAGTCACTTTTTTAATTGCCAGA